ACCTGAAAATGGCTTAAGACCGCATTGAAGATTTTTGTTTGCGTTGGCGGAGCCGGGATGGAGTTTGTTTTCAGCAATCCATGCTTGTCATTAAAGCGACTAACGGGATCGGATTGTCAGGCTCGGTAGTTGCAATGCCATTGTATCCCCATTGCGTAGTTCGATGCTCATGTTTGTGATCACAGGATTGTCTGGTATATTTTCGATTATTTACAGACCGCCGCCAAATAGCTGGAATTTTGCTGAGTGCGGCCTTAGACAACAGACAAATAGACACTAGCTGGAATCCAAACTACATCACTACATCAAGTGCATAAGCCATTTTAGAACAGTTTGTTGCGTTATTTTAAGAGCAATTGTTTCATGTAATTTACAAGGTAAAACGGTGAACATTCATACGTCTATAGACAAAGTGTTCGCCAACACAACAGTATTCGTCCCCACTCTTCCTGCAATTCGATGGCCAGTTGTGGAAGTGTCTGAGGCGTGTTTTGACGTTGACGTATACGTCGATCGAGTTCATCCCATATGTATTCTATCGGGTTTTGATCTGGCAATCGGTGGGTTACTGAAGGCTCATTCTAACCCGGACCTTCACGGGTGTTCTCGGTGCGAGACCGCCTCCGTGGTGTAGTGGTTAGAGCGTCCGCCCGGAGAGTGGAAGATCGCGGGTTCGATCCCCGACCGCGTCATACCAAAAGACGTTAAAACATGGTACTTGTTGGTCCCTGCCTGGCGCTCGGCATTTATGGGTACAACAAGGACTGGTCGACTCGGAGTCAGTATAATGTGTCTGGGTGGGGTATTCATGCTTCACTGCAGCGTGGTATATCAGTGGGCTAGCACTATAAAACTAGCTTCAGTCTGGGCTAGTACAAGCAGCCACACATACACATACACACGCATGCACGTCGTCAAATGAGCGAAATATTCTCAAGCACGACGTTAAACCCAATTTCACCTCACCTCACCTCTCAGTGCGATCTTGGGCGGAACCGGTCTGCAGAAAACGACCCCAAATTCGAGAGATGGTGATCTGATAAACGTTGAAATGTTGGGTAACTGCAGACTGCGACTCCCCACCTTCAAGGCGGTCTATGGCGATGTTTCCATTGGCGACACTCTGTCGTGGCATGATGATTTCCTCTTTTCCAGGCGAAAACGAATGACAAATTAAACACAACGTTTGCCTTTTTATTTTGATCGACACCACATGCACGTGTTTTCTTGGTGACTTTTGGGCTAATATTTCTTAAAACGCTTCTAAAACAAGTGGAAAAGTTAAAATTGCCGCGTTTTGTCGCTGAAGCTGTTTACAAACACACAAAGATGACGTTTTGGAAAGAAATAGTATATTTGTATTGTTTTGCCGCAGCTACATTAGTCCAATATTCTCAAAATCACCTATGCGTTTCTTTTTCTGAAGGGTGTATATAAAATGATATGTAAGTTCAGTGTGAAATCTTATATCCATCTACTAAAGTGTTGTAAGTGAGTTGGACACTGACACTTGACATAAATATACCATGAATTCATAGATACAGTTCTCTGGATCAAAACATCAAGCAGAAAGTCACAAAATAAAAAAGGTTTCAATTCAGTGAGCCATGTTTTCTATGTGTATTTCTAAGGAATATCTGTGTCGTCTGGCGTGAGATTTGTTGTCTCACACAAGTCCTCCTGTTTATGAAAAGCTAAACTTTAGATTTAGTCTGCAGTATGAAATAAAGCAATGCATTTCAATGATAAGACTAACGACGTCTGATACCTCTAGCGCCCCAACTATATACTGAGTCAAGAAAGAAACTTCACATTCTTTCTTCAGGGAACTATAAAAGAACAAGAGATGGTAAGATGGTTAAATTGTATATACTGTATATACAGTATATACTGATTCAAAAAAGAAACTTCACATTCTTTCTTCAGGGGCACAGCCCCAACACCTACGTCAGCGCCGGTAGCAATGTAGTCGTAGGTGTCACTGGCGTCAACTGGCATGTCCTTGACCTAGTGGTATGACAGCAGATCCTCGGTGAATAATCTGGCTATGGAATGCCACTATTGCCTACTGAACTGTTGCTAAACCCGACCTCCAGTCTGATTCCTTGGGACTGATAAAGAAGTGGTCCCTTCTGGAGTGACCCCGGGGCAACGGCAGTCACAGACTCAGCACCAGCACCTGCGTCATCGTCGGTGGCGATGTATTTGTGGGTGGCAGTGACCTCAGTCGACAAAACACGTTGTGTGCTAAGATAACCTCAAAGCTTAAACTTGTGTATGGAATTCCACTGTTTCCGTTTCCCACTAAACTAACAGCGTATCGTGCACATAATACAACCACATTTACACACAGTAGGCACCCTATTGGTGATATTCATTGACATGTTGGTTATTTTAATATCTATTTTTGTTGTTTTTAGTTGATAAATAGGGTAAGAAGTATATTCCTTTTTCATATATACAAAATATATGCCTTGCGCAGAAATGGGGGTTTAAAATCAAACTTAAAAGATCTGGTGACTTACAGGATATAAGAAATATATTCCCTAACCAAATATGCTTGGTATTTGATATTAAACCATTGTTTTGCTCCAGGTTTTTGCAACTTTTCAGTTCCCGGTTAAATTTTGGCGGCCATCTTGGATTTTGAGCTAAAAAAAGCTTTCACATTAATACTCAGACTGGAACCAAACATTTAAACTCCTTTAACATATAAACACAAAAGAATATATGATTTGCTTTCATCAAAAAACTTTCATGGAATCACATAAGCTACCTGACTACTTATAAACATATAAAAATGACACTATGGTTATATGTCAAGTGAAAATATCTTAAAATTAGAAATAGCAATCTGGTAGCTATAAGAATATTCCAAACTTCAAAAACACATTAACCATTCATAAATAGGTAATTATTCACTACGAATGGGTCAGTTATTTACAGACGCAAATCTACAATGAATGCCAAAGGTGATATTCCATTCAAAACAGATTTGTCAGTAACTCAGAATAATTCTGATCCAAATTACACATCCCCTGATTTTTAACGTAAACAGAATCATAGTTAGATATTCGTGAGTGTTACAGTTCATATTTCGTTTTGTTCTTTTGCGATAGACTTTGTAATTAACTCTTATAGTAAAACATGAATAATCACTGCAAATACTAGCATCTATTTTTATCATTATAGGATATTTATATAGGGCACATATTAACTCAACTAGTGCTTGCTCAAGGCGCTGCACGATCAGTGTTTCGGGCATTGGCGTCAGTACTGCACATGTAGAGTGTCATGCTTCTGATGAAGACTTGTCTACCGTCTGTTGTTTTTTGTAGGATCCTGTAACACTGTGGCCTGATATCAGTACTCCTATTACATCTGCATATTTCGGATGACAAACATACATCATGACCCACATGGGTCTGTCAAAATCGACATCTGTAACAGTGGTGTACACTGTGTTATCAGCAGCATTGATAACTGACAGTTTGTTGTTAGCTCCATTCAGTACAAAACACAGTCGTAGGTCAAAAGACTGGCCAACTCTGTTGTGGGTGAGTGGGGTGTCGCTGAGGAGGGTGTTATTGTAGGCAATCCGGAGACACAGCATCTGTTTGTGGTTGGGGCATGTAGCCACACGTACACTCAGTCCAGTGTGTTGATTGTAGGGAGTGTCTACAGGGGTGGGGGTCAGAGCAGTCTCTTGCATCATACAGTTGTCTGGCATACTTTCTTTCACAGAGAACCCAAAGTTTACTTGATAGATGCACAGTTGGTCGGGGCTGTTTCGGACCATCAGAGGGCTTGACGCCAGAACGGATCTGATTTCTTGTATTCGACATCCTGTATCAGGATACGGATCAATTGGTGGATTGTTGGTGACGACCCGCCTAGATACACATACAGCGCCATAAGCTGTACCTGGGTCCCATTCCAGCATAGCGCCTGTGTAACAAATAACGTCCATAATTAAACCATCTCCATTGCAGTGAATGATAATCTATTAATATTATAAAACAGAAATTAGGAGATGGCACAATTTTTCTATCTGTAAAGTAACCTTTAATTGAACCAGCGATCTTAAGCTCTTAGGCAAAATAACGGGGTATCATGTTAGTATTGTAAATATCACACTAGAGTGATGTATTGGCCAATGTGACACAGAAAACGTATTGAAGCATCACCAAGGACACCAGGTCCTCATCCAGAAGTACTCTCCTTCAGATAACTCGAGCTCCCCTTCAGATATCTCCCCTTCAGATAACTTCCGGTCAGTTCCTCTATCAATCATATCCAGCCTTAAGTTTTGTAAACTCCTTCGTTTGTTTTTAGAAACAAGAATACCAAGCCGCCTCCTGTCACCGAAAATCAATTTTCTGGGCCTACCTGCACCATATCCATTTGCAATATTTTTCAAAACACGATAAACAGTGGACAAAGGGATGTCTAGCTCTTCACAAACTAATAAAAAAGGATTAACGGAGTTGTCTCTCTTGAATGAAACCATGCACTTGATAGCTGGTCAAGGTTGTTTATACTAGAACTCCAATTAAACATATTCTAAAATCCTCAATAATTTCTGGTCATACTATATTTTTATTATCCACACATACATACATACATACGTACCTACCTACCTACCTACCTACCTACCTACACACACACACACACACACACACACACACACACACACACACACACACACACACACACACACACACACACACACACACACACACACACACACACACACACACACACACACACACACACACACACACACACACACACACACACATACATACATACATACATACATACATACATACATACATACATACATACATACACTCAGACCCTGGTATGCTGAAGGTGTGTAACTGGCTGTTACATCTCAGATAATTCGAGCAGCATGACCAATTTGCCTGATCGGATTGATTGACCAAATCGCATTGGGTTTAAAATACCAAGTTGTGAATTAGTTTTGTACTACATACCTGTCGGTAACTCTGCTGGATCCAGTATGATGGCATTGTATGCTTCAGAATCTGGCACTATTGTCGGCCTGTCTGTTGGGGAGAACGTGACTGATCTGACCATTCCAGCTGCTTTGATACCATCACTAAGATGATGTATATTTGCCTTGACAAAGTTCACACCAGTCCTGACAAAGGATACCTCTTGTAAAGTCTCTTCCAGCATGGTGTTTAAGGGGACAAGGGAAGACTCCATAACTTGAAGATCCTCTATCGTGTCAGCTTTACTTCTCATTAGTTTTGTGTATTCAATAGAAGATTTTACTCTAGACTGCAAATCTCTTGTTTTCTCCAGTGCATCCTTTGTCAGTTGAAGATTTTGTGCAGATTTATGTTCAACATCTGATAAGAGGACTGACCTCCTTTGCTTCAGCTCATTGGTCAGGTTGTTGATATCATCTGTGGCAACCCTCTTGGACATTTCAATGTTCTTCAGCTTCTTCATTAATTCTGCTTCTGCTTTGTCCAGTATCTCTGACTTCGCATACATCTTCACAAAAACGTCTTGTATGGATTGCGACAGTTCTTGGTGTGCCTCATCCACAGACACAACATTATGTCCCTTCCCTTTATCGTGATCTACTACAGTGCATGACACACAGACGACCTTGGTACAAGTGTGGCAATAGAACTGTAGAGGCTGCTGGTGTTGACTACACTGATGTCGACGACGGAAACTCTGCACAGGTCGCCCCTTCATCTTATCAAAGGTAACTATTGTGTGTGTCTTTGTTGTTACATTCCTCCTGTGGGCTTTCAGACAGATAGAACAGAGAAATACCCCACAGTTGTCACACTGGGCTTGAGCTGTTTTCTGTCCGGACAGTCTGTACATGGAAGATGAAGACCTTTCTGCATCTTGAGATAGTCCAGAGTCTTCAGGATGACCGTCTCTTTGGGCAGGGATTTCACTCCACCAGGCAGGTTATGCTGGTGTCGACACATGGGGCAGTATATGGTTGTATTGCCTCCACTGTAGGTTTCCAGACAGGGCTGACATATGGACTGGACACAGCATGGCATACGACGAGGAATTCGTATTGAGTCATCAAAGTGTTCTGTGCATATTGGACACTCTGTCAGAAGATCCTTGATTGCAGCCACTGAGACAAGATCCGACATGGTTGCCTGGCAAATAATGATCATTGTTATGACTCAGCGTTGTTCCTTGCCATATACATTGTACCTGGTGACATGCGGTAAAGGGCAGTGGTGTGGTATGTATTTAGACTTATGCTATATTTAGACAGAATTCTAGAATGTACTGCAACCGTCCTCTGATGCAGAGAACATAACAGAATGATCTGGTAAGGTTTGTGTGGGTATATAAGGGAAGCTTACTCTGGCTTCTCATATCAATATCAATATTGTATTCAGCCTTAATTGTTATTTTTTATACTTGATCATTGTTGCAGTGAGTTGAATACTACCATCACTTTTAGCTTCAACTTGACGAGGGTTCAGGCAATATCTATCAAAAATAGATAATCATGTTTCTTACCTTATGAGAAACGACGGTAAAGAAGGTTTTAAGAGAGGCTTCTACATACACCTGCAACGCATACACCTACACATCCCTTCTTACACCGTATCTGCTCATGCGCAGTAGATACGTTCGTTTTAAGGTCTACACAATATGGAAAATTCCAATGGAATGTGCTGTGTCACAACAAAAAAAAAAAAATAAGTCAACTGTAAAGAGTGGACTTTGATCATGACATGTGGGTGTTAAAAAGGGGCGGTAATCGGATATTGTCTCACTTATATACAGTACAATGATCGGTAGCGTCGTCTTAAACCACCAAGGTTATGCTCGATATCCTTTGGAATCCTTCTGCACATGTGCAAGCAGATACAATCTAAGTAAACTTAGACTCAGTATTATTCGTTACACTGCTATACTGAGTCTAACAAAACTTGTGGAAGGTCGCGTCAGGTAACCTTTTCAATTGACCAATTAGAACACAGCTTACCAAATCGCGATAGTTGACATTCGCACATACCTTTTGAACTTTTACCTCGAAAAAGTTTGGTACCCGAACGATTTTGAATGCTATTTTCCGTACGATTGCTTCCGAGTGATGCACATGGAGCACGGCACAACCGTGAGTAAACAGTCACTGAAAATAGCGTTTTGTCAGTATTCAAGGATGTCAGCTTGCGGAAATATTAGCTAATGATAACCATGTCAAGATTACTTAGACTGCAAATGTATAAGTGTATATCTGATAATGAGAATATCTGTGTTTGTGTGCCTTAACCCGTCTCCATTGGTGTTATGCATGTCTGAGTGAGTGAGTATGGTTTTACGCCACTTTTAGCAAGTTGGGTTGAGTTCTATGCTGCTTTGGGATATATTCCAGCAATAACATTGCGTGGACAAGGGAAATGGGCTTCACATATTGGACTCAGGCCACAGCATGAAGGACAACATGCTACATCCGCTTGGCTGTCCCACCGCCCCTCTGTGGTCGAGCACTCATAAGGAACCATCTGCTGCTGGCGGGGATGTTTAGTCCCGGCCGACCTTGGCACATGGGTACACAGGTAGATGATGTTGTAGAGGCCGATGTTGTCACGGCCGACGCCGATGCTAATAAAACTATGACTGCTGAATGATGATATATTGATTTTGGGTGTGAACAAAATATGTCGTGGTGATAGGATGAATCGTTATTCTTAGACGGAGATTATTGTCTTTTCCCAAATGTGTTTTTCGACCCCAAAAGAATGCTTTGAGACATCAAAGTTCCACAGAGCGGTGGTTGATTTTGTAATCCAATCGCACTGTTATGCATAGCCCTTTAAAGAAACTATGCGTATACATCATTTTAGTGGGAGATCTTATCCATCTAACATATGTTATATTTGGGATTACACGTTCTTAGTAAAGTACAGATTCTAGTACAAAAACAGAAGTCGGTAGTCCAGACTGCGGATTTTGTGTACCCCTCTGATCAGTATACATTGGCACGGCTCTCAGAAATTGTAATCCCAAATATAACATATGTTACATTTGACCACTTTCTAAATGGCATTGTGTAATCATACGTGACAGCCGTAAGGTGGCTGAGCGGGCTAGGCGATTAGGTGCCTGACTCTGCGGGTGTGGGTTCGAATCCAGGATGCGTACTTTACTAAGTGTAATTCCAAATATAACATACGTTACATTTGACCACTTTCTAAACGGCATTGTGTAATCTTATTCATCTACTAAAGTGTTTGCAAGTGAGCTAGTGAGTTGGACACTGACATTTTGGCACATTAACATATACAGTGAGTTCACACATACAGTTATCTAGTTCTATACATTAAGCGGAATGTCAAAAAATAAACATGTTTCGATTCAGTGAGCCATTGTTTTCTATGTGCATTTCTAAAGAATATCGTTGTTGTCTGGCGGGAGATTTGTTGTCATACACAAGTCCTCCTGCTCGACTTTAGATCAATATTCTGCATTTCTGTGTTGTCTGACAAAGTACCTCTTACGTACACCCCAAACGAGCTGTAAGTTTGACAGCAATTGCAATGTTCCTGACCCTGAGTTCCCGTCTGAGCTCGTGGGGGTGACATAAAAGCTGACAGTCCTTGAGTGACCCAGGGGGAAGGACAGCTACAGACACAGCTCCAGACACAGCGCCACCACCTACGACATCACTGGGGGCGATGTTTCTTCACACTGGCCTCAACCGAAATAACAGACTGGTTAACTTTCTTACCTTTCGAGAACTGACAGTTAAGAGGTGTGGTACAGTAGGTGTGTACATAACCTGGGGGTTATTTGCACATGCCAAGAAGTTAACTTCGTTGTCAAGAACAATAGAATGCGCAATCTCATACAAAATGAAAAACAAGAAGACAAAGTCATCAATATCCCCCGCAATGGCAAAATACTCTTCATGATTATGTCTACGAGTTATGATTATGTCAAATATTTAGGTGTGTACATAGAAAAGTGGAAGGAGAGTATTGAAAGGTTTTTAAAGTTCTGCTCCAGAAAGGAGCACTATCACCAATTTCAGTTTATGTAAAACTTGTTGCCAAGGAAATGCCAAAAATATTTTATTCAGAAATCAAAAACTACCAAAAGGCACCAGTACACCGCCAGATCTATGTATGTGCCAAGTTTGGTGAAGAAATAGTGAACGGTTTTAGAGTTCAGCTCCGGAAAAGATCACTACCACCAATTTCAGGCTAAGTCGAACTTGTTGCCACGGAAAAGACAAAATATTTTATTCAGAAATCCAAAACTACCAAAAGGCACCAGTACACCACCAGATCTATGTATGGGCCACGTTTGGTGAAGAAACATTGAACGGTTTTAGAGATCGGTACCGGAAAAGTGCACTACCACTAATTTCTGTTTTATTCAAACTTGTTGCCATGGAAACGCCAAAAATATTTTATTCAGAATTCCAAAACTACCAAAAAGGCACCAGTACACCACCAGATCTATGTATGTGCCAAGTTTGGCGAAGAAATAGTGAACGGTTTTATAGTTCAGCTCCGGAAAAGAGAACTACCACCAATTTCAGGCTAAGTCAAACTTGTTGCCACGGAAAAGACAAAAATATTTTATTCATAATTCCAAAACAATCAAAAGGCACCATGACACCACCAGATCTATGTATGTGCCACGTTTGGTGAAGAAACATTGAACGGTTTTAGAGATCGGTACCGGAAAAGTGCACTACCACTAATTTCTGTTTTATTCAAACTTGTTGCCATGGAAACGCCAAAAATATTTTATTCAGAATTCCAAAACTACCAAAAAGGCACCAGTACACCACCAGATCTATGTATGTGCCAAGTTTGGCGAAGAAATAGTGAACGGTTTTATAGTTCAGCTCCGGAAAAGAGAACTACCACCAATTTCAGGCTAAGTCAAACTTGTTGCCACGGAAAAGACAAAAATATTTTATTCATAATTCCAAAACAATCAAAAGGCACCATGACACCACCAGATCCATCTATGTGCCACGTTTGGGTGAAGAAATAGTGAACGGCTTTAGAGTTCTGCTCCGGAAAAGAGCACTACCACTAATATCATTCTAAGTCGAACTTGTTGCCATGGAAACGCCAAAAATGTTTTAGTCAGAATTCCAAAACTACCAAAAGGCACCAGTACTCCACCAGATCTATCTATGTGCCAAGTTTGGTGAAGAAATAGTGAACGGTTTTAGAGTTCAGCTCCATAAAAGTGTACTGCCACCAATTTCAGGCTAAGTCAAAACTTGTTGCCATGGAAACGCTAAAAATATTTTATTCAGAATTCCAAAACAATCAAAAGGCACCATGACACCACCAGATCCATCTATGTGCCACGTTTGCTGAAGAAATAGTGAACGGCTTTAGAGTTCTGCTCCGGAAAAGAGCACTACCACTAATTTCATTCTAAGTCGAACTTGTTGCCATGGAAACGCCAAAAATGTTTTAGTTAGAATTCCAAAACTACCAAAAGGCACCAGTACTCCACCAGATCTATCTATGTGCCAAGTTTGGTGAAGAAATAGTGAACGGTTTTGGAGTTCTGCTCCAGAAAAGACAAATATGCACGGATGGACGGACGGACGGACGCAGGGACGGACGGAGTCCATTTTAATACACACACACCCCACACACACCCCACCCCGCGAAACGCATTGCGGGTGATAGAAAGGCAATTCATGTATAGCAAACTTTGACAACGCTGTGTCGGTTGCCAAGGACCTTTCGGGAAATGACAGTTAAGGGGTGTTGTACAGGAGGCGACCAGATACACGTGCACAAACACAAGTAACCCAAGGTAATATCTGCAAAGGCCCAGTAGAAGGTGATTGATTAGGATCATACCTGCAGTGTCAGCGGGTAATGAGCAATATCAAACTAAGCGAATGGGCAACAAGATAACAGAAGTCATACTACCAGTGTCTGGGGGAATATCGTGTAAAACCATAACCATCTAAATATACCAGATCTAACTTGAAGGATGTTGAGAAACAATAATCATACTCCAGAGAGGCAATATTGTCAAACGAACATTATGTGCAACCAATTATCAGAGAGAGATCGACAATTTTCAATAACGTACTGGCAATCGGACATTGTTTGAACTCACTTGTATACATTTCTTACAATAAGCGGATGTGGTTCTGTCGTAGAAGGCTACCACAAACATAATCGAAAACAGAATCGATCAAAAATAAACTGGTTAACCTTCTTACCTTACGAGAAATGACAGTTGCGAGATGTTATTAATGCGGCGTCTAGAAAGATACATGTACACGGACACAACATTACCTTGGCGTTATCTGCACACGCCCAGATTTTACTTTCGTGGTTAAGAACTATGGAATGCGTCGTGTCATTTGTAGATAAGTGGGTAAGTTGTCAATCATGGGGGTATCAAGGACGTAAGCAAACCTTACATCAGCATTATAACGCCTCATATATAACGCCTCTTACACCCGAAAAGGCGTTCAGCATTGGGAACACAATGAATAGGAATTCATATTGGTAGAAGGGGCAAGAAGGGAAAATAGTTGACACTACCAGTGTCTGGGGTAATATTGTGTTACACCATTCTGGCCTGATTAGTCCATATGTAACTTGGAGGAGGTTGCAAAATAGCATCATTACAAATAGCATGAAGGTTGAAAAACCAATAATATTACTCAAGAGAGGGAACATTGTTCAAACAGGACTCGTCTGTGGTTCTGTTATTACAAACAATCATCACAGGGAGATTGATACTTTGGTAATTTTACAATAACGTTCTCACATATAGTTATTACTGAACAATTGTCCTGAAGGCTACTGCAACATAATCTAAGCGATTCTGGGAAGCGATTCAGGCTTTAAAGAAGACATTCTGCACAGCTAATTACATCGTCTTAAACCACCATGCCTCAGTATTGTAAAGCCAGAAAAGTTAATGATTTTCGTTCTTTGGAATCCTTCTGCGCATATACAAACATATAAGGGGTAGACAGAGATTAATCTTTTTGTGTATGTTGACCCCTGTTGCTGTCTGTCTCCATTGAGGTCCTGCACGCTGTGCTGAAGCTGCAAATGTCTGCCTTTAACTGTGCAGAGTTACTCCTTATAAACTGAGTTAGCAACATATGGAGATAGAGGACAATGTCTTTACATGTCGGTAGGTTGTTAGGTATTGGTTTGACCATTAGAAGTGAATTTGCTCACACAACAAGTGACTTTAAAGCAGAGCCCAGCGAGTAGTGAAATTGTGATGAGAGCCGATCTGATACTGGGGGCTGACGATGTGGTAAGGCTTTTATAGAATTCCTGAGATTATAGCAGCTCCATAACATTATTCTCCTTATGAGGGATCTTCGCTTTACCCTCCATGGATGTTATAGCCCAAAGCCTGTGAGTAATTATACTGTCTAAGGTAGTAGGCCATTTTCATCTGGAACGATGTGTCGTCGAATCAAACGCTTAAAAACATGCAACTCTAACACAATTATATTGAAACTGTGTTCTTTATCAAACTCAATACATAACGGATACGTCAGCACAAGATATGATCAGTCTGTTATACAATGTCACTCCTTCTGTGTTCAGTAACATACTCGTGGCATAACTGGATTAGCTGAACGATGCGTTAATCACAAACCACATACTGTATGCAAAAAGCTTTTGTGTAAATTGAAACGATAAAAATGTGGCACACATTCAGTTCAAAAGTATAGTAATTCGACAAAAAACATATCCTGTTGCACGTGTTGGGACTGTAGATAAAACGTTGTGTCTGTTGAGATAAATCTTTAACAAAACAAATACAGATTGTTCTTTTAGGTGAACATAACACAAGGTGTTGTTTCACAAAGTAATATGAGCACAACAGTTGTTGAGGTGGAATCTGATATTCTATAGTGCTAGCGGTTCCTGATATGATCGGTTTAGAGAATAGATGCTGATATCACGGCATGCACTTTAAACATTTTACACATAACCAGGAGGTCTGTATGGACTAGTTCTGTCTGCACCCTACCTGTGTAATTGACTTCACAATAGTGGTGGAAATATGTTAGCGGTCTTTCCTTTCAGAAGCCAGTACGCTGTAATCTATTTACCTAACTTGATAGGGTTGACGATATTTGGTGTCGCTAACTTGTATTATACGTTTTAGTCTTGAGGTTAACATAGTTAGTCACACATAATGTCAGATAATCAATGGTCAAAACTACCACGTCACATTCACAGGCAACGACACCTTGACACTGCATTAGCTGACCTAGTATTAGATATGTAGTTGACTTTGGGTTGTTTGGCTGTGAGAAAACCGTCCATACTCTGCAGGGCACATGTTCTTGATTGATCCCGGGTTTATGACGGGATACCGGAAGTTATGGAACATATGAATCCCCATGATGACTTAAAACATACACCAGTTAAACCGGATATAGATGACTATGTCTGAATGAATTTAAAATGAATCTTTTACAAAACAAATAAGAGATTGACTTTTTGGATGAACGCAACACAGTGGCTTGAAAACGAAGACCACTTTTCTTTGAGAATAAAACCAACATTGTTTCCATGGAAACGTTTGAAAATACCATTTAGAAATCGTTCAAAATACCAAAAGGCACAAGTTGAGCTGATGACCAGTTCGTATGTCAAGTTCCGTTCACAAACACTGAAGGGTTTTGTAGTTAGGGCTCAGAATAGGATACTAACGCCAACGACAACTGGTGTATACATGTACCAAGAAAACAACACATTGCTCATTTGTCCACCTGAATGAAATACAAAACATCGAGATAATCATCGTTGCATATTGCAGTATCAAATGTCACGATATATCGCTCTATGCAGTCCACATACCAATATCGTGATAAACCGTTGTCATGGAAATAATCGCTTGATACAATTGTCATACAAATGTCGCGTGACAAAATATCTTATTGATCAACCACTTCCCCAAAACACTGGAGGTGAGGTGAGGTGAGGTGAGGTGAGGTGAGGTGAAATGGGGTTTAACGTTGCTCTTAATAATGTTTCGCTCATATGACGACAAGCATGTACTAGCTGGGATTTATAGTGCTAGCCCACTGAGATACCATGCCGCAGTGAAGCATGAATACCCCACTCAGACACATCATACTGATTCCGAGCCGACCAGTCCTTGTTGTACCCATTAATGCCGAGCGCCAGACAGGGACCAACAAGTACCATATTTTAACTTCTTTTGGTATGACACGGCCGGGGATCGCTCTCCGGGCGGACGCTCTAACCATTACACCATGGAGGCGGTCCAAAAACATTGGAATATTGAGTCGTCGTATAAACTATCACTGTGCATGGCCTCCCTGTGTCACCCGTCAGTATCCGGGTTAGAATTCCATGCATCCCATGCTTGTCGTAGGAGGTCGGGTCGGGTGGTCAGGTTCGCCGACTTGGTTGACACATACCATCGTATCCCAATTACCTAGATCGATGCCATATAGAAGGAATATTGCTGAGTGCGGCGTTAAACAACAAACAAAACATACCTGTGTCAGCAATAAACGAAAACAAGAAGTGTTTTACTTGTTTGTTGTTTATCGTATACCATGAGAGATGTACATACAGACAACTAGAGCTATGCATAAAACTCAAAGTGAAAACAATAAATAATTCGGTGACCCGTTATCTTCAATGTACATGTATATATAAACATACCTGTGCTGTTTCATGGAGAGTCCTCCTGTCTCAAAAGATCTCGTAGGTGTCACTGGCGTCAGTCTGATCCCTGGTGGCAGACATAGATGAGGACTGTCTTATGACCCAGGGGCAACAACAGCGACAGACCCAGCACCAACACCGACGGCGATGTGTTTGTGGATGCCAGTTGCCTCAGCCGACAAAACACGTGGTGTACTAAGATATCCTCAAAGCTTAAACTGGTGCATAGAATACCACTATTCCCCATTAAACTAACAATACATTGGCACTTTATGATGATATATATATATACTATTCCCCCCAAAATGTATAACCCAGAAATCAGTTGCGAAAATGTAGTGTATTCAAACATGTATAAGTCGTCCACAAATAGACTTTAAGACATGCTTTTTTGCACCAGTTTAGAAGAAGGTAATGTCTGTACAACCAAGAGAATAATTTTAGATAACGGAGATGTTGAGCGCGATGGTGACTAAGTAACACGGTCCCGACGTCGGGTCTCCTGGCTGTCTCTCTCTCAGTTTGACCGGGTATCCTCCGAAGTCCAGGCACCATGGCTGCTGTGCTCTCACCCGTGGCAGTACGATCACGCAAATGTAGCACCCGGATGTACCGATGTTGGGCTGCAGTGGTGACTCGAGGTCTGCCTGTACGGGGACGCTCATTTGATGAACCTGTTTGGTTGTAACGAGCGGCAAGCAGTGATATCTTGTTCAGACTAACATTCGGACGCCTGGCAACAGAAAATTGGTAATCTCCAGCGTGCATTCTTTCAATGGTGATGTTCCGTGTCGCAGCGTCTAGACGTGGCGTAGTGATTTGACCTTGAAACTCCTTCAAAACGAATGCCGATTTCTGAAAGTAACCTGGATTTTTATAGTCAGACAGTGCATGCATGCTCTTTGCTGCACAATTTCAACTGGACGGTGATTTTTGTTGCGTTGTGGCGATTCCTTTTTGATTCTTGTAAGAAATCTCATCAAAATCAACATTTTCAGGTAAAGTCCATTTTTTACTTGTGCAATAGTGTAAAATCATGCTATCAACATTTTTGTTACATATTTTGACGATTGTTTGAACACAATTGGTAATTAATCGATTTTTTAAAAATACAAAACGCCTATGCGTTCCTTTTTTGGGATAGTATATTTACATGCTAGTTGTTACAATCGGTTTTTTTTGTTGAATTTCGTTGCGAAAGCCTAATCTATCAGTCCTTCTCGAAAGTTCCACATCTGTGGGGGAAAGCGGGTAGCATCAATGATAAACTTAAACCGACATTTTCGGGTGAGAAAGTGAGTTATTATAATATTCCAGCAATATCACGGCGGGGAATACCGGAATTGGCTTCACACAATGTACCCATGTGCGGAATCGAACCCGGATGTTCCACGTGACGAGCGAACGGTTTTACCACAACGCCCCAAAGACCCGGGTTCGATTCCCCACATGGGTACAATGTGGGAAGCCCATTTCTTGTGTACCCCGCCGTGATATTGTGGGAATGGGTCACAAGCTGGGTGTGCGTCTGTGGTGGGGGAAGTAGGGAAGGGGAGAAGGGAGAGACAGGAGTCTTTCGTGACATTACCATGAACGGACGTCATA